AAAGAAGGAGAAGAGTGACACGATGTAGTAGTGTTTGATGTTAGGTAACTATAAATGATGAATAAAAAATGTATCATATCTATCTTTACACCTAACTGAGAATGTAGGAAGGGTAAGATTGGATTTATGAAAAAATGTACAGTATCATAGCCATTTACCTAATTAATATTTTTTCTATAGCTATCTGCTGCAAATTCCCTTTATATAAACCGTTAAAAGAGAAACCAGAATTTATATTAGTTAATTAGTTTTTTTTTTCTATATTAGTTAATTAGTTGATGTATTTTAATTTTTTTTGGTGTTAATGGATGCAATTTCTGTGGATTGACGTTATTTGTCAAATAACCAAGAAAAAAAGATAAGAAAGAGAATGTAATATTAGTTAGTTGATGTATTTTAGTTTATTTTTTGTGTCAAAGACAGTTTTCATGATTAAAATAACTATAGATTTTTTTTTTTAAACTATAGATAGCTTAACTTCAAATTTTTATATTTAAACTACTAGGGCCGGCCTGCGCTACGCGCAGGATCTGATTAATGTATGATCTATTATACTATATAATTATTTATTTTCATTTGCATGTGTTGTATTTTATGATTTGCAAGAGGAATATATAATAGTGTTGATGGTTTTGATGTTCTTAGAGAGAAGCAAATTTTCGTGAGGGAAATTTATTTTATAAGCTGAGATTTGAATTTATGTTGATGTAGTTTGTAAAACAGGTTTTGTTAAATAGTTGGTCTCACAATGCACATTTTATTTATTTTATTCTTATAGTGTTGTATTTATATGGTTAATAGAAAAAAAATCACAATAGTATACTGTTGTTGACATTTTCTCAATATAGAAGAAAAAACTGAATTAGAAATAAGAGAAGTTCTCTTTTTTTTTGAACAATCCAATAAGAGAAATTTTCTAGGATGGTCTTTTTAGTATATTTACACAAAAAATAAGATAGAAAATAATCAAAAAAATATTTTATTGAAGAACAAATATACTTTTATATTCTTATGATTACCTAATTTTACACCATTTTGTTTAGTGTTAATGGAGTTTTAGATTTAAAATATTCACAATAAAATAGAAATATTAAATTTTTAAAAATAGTTTCAAAAAATATTTTTGAATTTCAAAAAGAAAATTAAAAAAAAAATTTCTATAAAAAAGTACGAATCTGAAAACATATAATCCAAAAAATATTAATTTTTAAATATTATTGTTTATTTTATTTTTATATTTATTTATTTATTATTTATATATTTATAAATTAAGGGGCACAAAAATCGTTTGCCTCTTTAATGAATTCTCTTTTGGTCATTTTCATCTTTGAATGTTTTTTGTGACAAAATTTTTAAAAAGTATTATTCGAGAGAATTGCTCTAGAAATAATGTGTATTTTAATCATTATTGTAGTTATTTATAATTTTTTTTTTTTCATGGTGGAAAGTTTGGTTTACAGGAAGCTAAAGGAATAATCATTTTTTTTTCCTATATTTGTAAGAAACTATGAAACATAGTCCCATAGAAGCAGATGCTCTTTCGCAAAAATTAAAGAAAAATATAAAAGCAGCACTTGGTATACAAAGAATTAATTTATTGTCGGTATAAGAGCTTACTCCATCTAATATTGTTTCTCTTGTTTTTCGTTTACGGCTTCTCGGTGTGTTCCCAAACTTTCTCTCAATCTCTTTTAGTGTTTTGTGTGTAAACTCATATCCTCAAATCTCAATATAATACATCGTGTGTTCTGTAGTGCTAAACCAATTAGAAATTAATAATGTTCTTACGTTAATGTATATGAAAGAGCGACATTGGTGTAGTAGCTAAATCATTAAAAACGAAGACAACAATTTTGGTGACCAAGTTCCAAAAAGGTTTAAAGCTGAACTATCTGGCTAGAAAAACAGATATACAGCTATGCATGTGTCCTCAAGTTCATGCGAACTTCAGGACAAATCTAAATAAAGTCATGAATATATCTTGATTCTAAGTCATGTAGGTAAAAAATAAATGAAAGATACGGCCACACCAACGGTCTACCTAAACATTAATATTGAAATCTATGGAGTNTTGATGATTCAGTCTTGGTATAGAGCATGTACAAAACAACCTCATGTATTCCGAACAATGCATATATACAAAAGATCTTGTCTAATGCTATTTTCTTTAATTGTTGTGTGTATGTCGATTTGTAACTGAAAAACACGAATAGGAACAACAGCACATCTTTTGATTTGTATACACTGTCACGCAGAAGATTGTCTTCCAATAACTATCGGAAAGTGAAAATGAAAAATGATCTCGGAGAAATTGCCTTTGCTATCTCTTGTCACACTCTCAGGCGTTTGTTCCAAGGATGTCCATCTCGCTCTCTCCGTTACCTGCTCCATCAGCTCAACGCCGCTTGTTCCGCCGCTTGCTATGTCGCTCTCGACCGCTTGCTCAGTCGCTCTCCACCGCTTGCTTGTTCACTCTCGTGACACGCTACAGACACACTCAATTAAATCATGAGTTACAAAACGACCTCACAATGGCAAAAGTAATCGAATAGTAAGAAGCAGCCTAGGTTTCAGATTCTGGGTTTGAATAAGAAGCAAGCGTGTGTTTGGATTCTGGGTTTGAATAAGAAGCAACCATTTTAATTTTGATCAGACTATAAAACCAGACTACCTTCTTCTACACTGCCTTGTGCTCTTATCAGTAAACTTGGAAGCAATGATCGCCCAACTGAGAAACCAATCAATAACAACAATCAGAATCAATAAAACAGAAAACTTTGTCCAAGAAACTGTAAGAAAAAAGGACTAACTTTTGTGTTTCATGTAAGCTGATTTGCTGTCTGAGAATATCATCCTCCTGAAACAGAGACAAAACCCATCTCAGAGACTAAACAGAGCAATGAAACACAGATTCATTATTATTATTATTATATATAGAGAGAGACCTGTTGACACCAGGTAACAAAATGACGCTCCTTCCTTTTGGAATCATCTTCTTCGTTATTAACGACCATCTTATTCTTCTTCGTCTCATCGTTGTCTCTTCCATTAATTTTTGTTTTTTCTCTCTCTGACGCTCTCCTCTGTTATTTTTCTTCGACGCTCCTTCTCCCTTTATTATAAAATCCACAGAGATGACCCCTCCAATTTTTTTTCTTATGAGAGAAAACCAAACTTTTTTCCAGGAAAAACAAAAGAATAATACTAAAAAAACGATGATTTTAATTAAATTTCACTTTGAAATTGAGATTTATATTCATCACTCGGGAAAACACTGTAAAACGAACAGCCTAGGTTGCTGTTGGTTTGAACGTTCTAAAAACGACAGCAACCTAACCTCCATTTGAAAGAACATATATCAGACTTCAAATCAGAAATAAAACTTGGGAGCTAGCGATTTCTCAGAAAGTGGATTCATTTTTTAAATAAATTGACAGGATGATTTGGAGAGTATGGATGCTAACCTTTTTATACTCAAAGTCCCACTGCATTCCAAGAGCAAAATTGCATTGAAGGTAGATTGTGAATCTGTAACTGATAGATTTCAGATCGTTAGGAAGAAGATGAAACAACTCTATCAAAACCTTAGGATGAAGTCCCAAATCGCAATGGCCGAGAAGGAAACAGGTTCAACCCTTAGAATCTAAAACGACGCGTTTAGTCTATATGGTACTCCTCCTTATTAGGATGGGCTTTATAAAGCAAAACACATACACCAAATATAAACAAAAGCCCAAACGAATAAGAAACATAAACAAATGAAACGCATAGTATTGATAACGTGGACACGTGTTGTCTTCAGAGTGAACGAATTAGTGATGTGGCATAATAGGAGGGAAGTAACTTTACTTTATATAATTAGGGGTGGGCACGGATCGGATATCCGGGTTTTTTAAGGTATTTGTGATTTGCTTCGAATGTTACGGATATCTAATTTTGGTATTTGCTTTGCTTCGAAAAAATACGGATATCCGGAAAAACGGATATCCGGAAAATAAATAGATATTTGCGGATATTTACGAATATTTACGGATATCTCATCCATTTTAATTAGTANATATTTATATATTTACGGATCGGATCGGATATCCGCTTTCCAAAATTTTAATATTTGTGATTTGCTTCGATTTTAACGGATATTGAATTTTAGTATTTGCTTTGATTCGAAAGTTTACGGATATCCGGAATTTTCGGATCGAATCGAAACGAATAACGGATCGAATCAAATATAACGGATAAAATGCCCAGCCCTATATATAATAAAGATATCTAAATGTATTCAAAACATATTAAATATTTAATATATTCAAATCTTAATGTTATTTTAAAATTAATACAAGTATAAATGTGACTAGTGTATTTTGGATATATATATATATATATATTGATGTTTAAATATATTTTTGGCATTCATTCGAATTTTCATTTGGTCTGAGTTAGGTTTTAGTGCTTCAAATATTTGAATAGGTTTTGGTTTGATTCTTGTTTCCAGCTATTTTGCACATATGTCTACGAGAAACTTTCATTCATGTTTATGGTAGTTTTTTCTTAAAGCTCCTTAATGTGATTGGTAGGGTTTGAATGCAAAATACATAAATGACTACACCATTACATAGCTTACTCTGATCGACTTAATGACTTATTCTAATCCATTTATTTGACACAATTTAGTCTCTATACTATCTAGGACCTCACAAACGAATGAGTTAAAATTCGTCTCCGAAGATCCAACGCTTGTAACCGCATCTTTGATATGACGTTTAACCTTCTCAACGTTGCTTCTCAGCTCACTTGAAGTCTCTTTGTTCATCAACCGTTTTACGTTCACCGAGACTTCATCCCTTGTGACTATATTCTTCTCACAAAGGTTAATTCCAATGCGCCAATCATCCACCACAAGTTTCCGGTTTGTGAACTGATCGGTTAAAAGCGGATAACACAACAATGGTAAACCGCACCAAACGCTTTCTAGAATCGAATTCCATCCACAATGTGTCAAAAACCCTCCAATGGCCGGGTTTGAGATTACTGCCATCTGACAGCACCACTGGACCACAAGGCCTCGACCTTTAGCCCGGTCCATAAACCCGGTTGGAAGAAAATCCGGTACGTCAGAGCCAACTATATCGGGACGTAAAACCCAAATGAAACTAAGCCCACTTAGCAAAAGCCCATGGGCTATCTCCACGATCTCCTTCTTACCAACATGTGCATAGCTACCAAACGAAACATAGAGAACTGATCCGGTGGGGCGGCCTTTGAGCCACTCGGTACAATCTGACTCGGCCCATAGGCTTGTGGGAACAACTGATTCCGTTGAGAAAACCGGGCCGATGGCGTAAACCGGTTGGTTGGCTTGTAGAGCCGAGAGAGAGTCTGGTTCCAACTCTTGAACGGTGTTGCATAATACGAAGTCGGCTTTCTTGACGTCTGTGAAGGCCTTAAATATTATTCTGTAGACCACTGTGTTAGTGTCTACGTCTTTGTCGCTTACTTGAAGATATGACATCAAGTCCTTTGGGTCTATTGCCTTAACTCCTGGTATGTAATCGATCATGTCTTCACGGTTATCTAGCATATATTTACAAATGTTAGATAAATGATGTAACTATAACCATCGGATACAGAAGAAAAGTTCTATCAAATTTTATCAACTACACAAACTTCCAAAAATATTATATATAGACCAAAATTTTGGTTGTTTTTTGAAATAAGTTTAATATATAGTAAACATATCATTGACATGATTAGTTAAGTATTTAAGAGTGTTACCAAGAGATTTGAAATGACCGTTGGATATGAGGAGATACATGTGATAATAGAGATTAAGGACCAAGGCAGGTTCGGTCCAAAACGAGACATTAACAAGGTTGTGCTTGTCGCAAATCATAGATGACCAAACGTAAAACGTGTCGGCGATCAAGCAAGTCACCGGAGGATCATCACCCCGGCGGGAGGTTTTGGTGATGAGATCATCGATGTGAGCAGGGAAGACGTGGAGAATGCCT